ACCCCACCAATTGATGCAAAATGTCCACATACTTGAAGGGAGCCTCTAATGTTTTTAAATTAAATTAGTTAGTTTTGTTGGGAAAAGAGAAACTTCCCAAAGATTTCATGCAGGTAGAGAGCAGAACTTCATGCAGTCCAACACAAATATAAAACATGGTCTTTTAGTGAGCTCTGGAATTTTTTAAAAAGGCCATGAAGGCAATTAAACAAGTAAAATTAATTGTAATATTGTCATAACACAAACTTCTTTTTCTCTTAGCAAACAGAAAAGCCCAGACTGACTCTGATAAAAGTCTCAAATGATATAAAAAGAGCAAAAAAAGCAAGTTGTTTACTTACAAATCATGTGACCTTCTTTCCCATAACATTTGGGTCTTGTGCTGTCCAATAGAATAAATAAGTGCACCCCAAAGATAAATTAACACAGCTGATACTTTTATAGGTCTTTAGATTCCACCTTGATAGCTGCTTCTATTTTGAATTAGTCTAATACTTCCTCCCTTTTCTATCCAGACATATCTTTTTACTACCAAAATGAACAGAAAAGTTCACACATCCCTAGATCTTATTTTTTTAAGATTTTATTTATACATTTTTTAGAGACAGGGGAAGGGAGGGAGAGAGCAAGAGAACCATCACTGCGTGGTTGCCTCTCATGCACCTGTCACTGGGGACCTGGCCCGCAACCCAGGCGTGCGTCCTGACCGGGAACCGCACCAGCAACCCGTTGGTTCACAGGCTGGTGCTCAATCCACTGAGCCACACCAGCCAGGACTTTTTTTTTTTAATAGTCTTATATTGTTTCAGTCTTCCAGTTCTAAACGTTCATACTGTAATACCATTGATTAAAATATAAAATTCTACTTTGGCTTTTTAAAAATATACATTTTTTTCCTAGCTCACTGGGATATTAACACTGAGTTAACTTTTAGAACTGATGTCTCAAGGATGTTGTGGGCTGAATTGTTCAGTACTGCATAAGTGTTAGTCTGAATACGTGCTCTAACCTTGCCTTCTTCTCTGTCTGGTTCTATTATACCTCCAAACAATGGGCTATTATAAATGTTGCTTTTGGTTAGATTAAAGTTATAAAACAGAACTGGGCTGATTAGATTGTGACACTGGCTTTTGAACATTATAATGCTTCCCCACTTAAAAAAAACCCTCATATGGATATTTCTATATGTAAACTACAACTATACTCCCCAGAAAGTAAAGTCGTTTTTTGAAGATGTAATTCAGAAACTGATCAATTTATTTCAAAGAACCCAGTCATTAATTATTTAGTAAAATGAAATCTCTTTTTGCAAATGAATAATCAATCATCCCCTTTCCAAATACATTTCTTTCTTCTAAGTTGAAATTTTTCTCTCTGAGTTTTCTTAAATTGTAGCCCTTTCACATTACATGTAAGACATTTCAGATTTCTTCTTCTTGGTCAACTCTCCTAAAGTGACTAACTTCTAAACCCATCCCCCAACCCCTGGGAATCAACTCTATTCTTCAGATTTCCAATTTAGCATCTCCTTCAATCACACATTCATTTGTGCTCACCTAAATAATTGGTGTTCAGTGTTTGTCAGTAGATTGTACATTCTCTCTCTCTCTCACTCTCTCTCTCTCTCTTTCTCTCCTTCCCTCCCCTATGAGTCATTACAATTTCAGCAGAATCACAATACAGAGTTCAGAACCTGTCGCCCACACCGTACTGTAAGCTAAAGGAACCAGAAGACAGCTTTCTCTTGTAAATGTCAAGTGTTCAGCATGTCTCCATTGGGGGCTGAATACAATTGTAACCTTAGAAAAGTTAAGTCCCTGGATCTAGGCAAAGCTTTGTGCATGGGCATACCTCATTTTATTGTGCTTTGCTTTATTGCACTTTACAGGTGTTACACTGTATGTTTTTATTTGTTTGTGTGTTTTTTACAAATTGAATGCAAGACTAACAGCAAAAAGATTATGACTCGCTTTATTGTGCTGGTCTTGAATCAAATTCCCATTATCTCCAGGGTATGCCTGCATTCTGAGTCCAAAGTTGACTTCTTACTTTTCCTACAAGGGCCTATAATTGGTAGTTTCAGATTGCTCTTTCATCAGACTTAACTCTCTGCAATACCAACTTTGTGTCTAATTTGTTCTGAATAGCTAGGACAACCCACAGGAGAAATAGCAGAATATTTTTTTGTTTGTCTCAGGAACAGTCAGCATAGCTATGTACATGGGAAGGAAGAGTCTGGTGGTCTTCCTTCCAAGGCTTCTCAAATGTAGCTTCGTTTTTATTAACAACCCAGCATATCCCATACCATGTTGTACTTATTATCAGTGCTGTCTGGTCAACAAAGGGTGCCACAAGGTTGTAGAAAACCCATTAGAGGGCTTATATTTGGCTATTATTATGCTTTTCATGAGCAGATATCAAGTGTTGTGCCGAAAGATCCTTACTGAGGTTTGACAGGAGGATATCCAACCAGAATAAGTTCAGGTATCTAAGCAAAGGTTTTGTTTTTTGTTTGTTTGCTTGTTTGTTTTGTGGTGTTAGGATTATTTTGCTACATTCAGAGACAAATGAACATAGCCAGATTGGTATGATTGGGGGGAAAGATTTGACCAAGGAGTGAAAGGCAGGAAGAAGAAGAAAGATCAGAATAAAGGGAAATGGGTGAAATCAAATGTGCACTCTGTATTTCACTCCAGAATATGGCTCATGATTATAATTACCCACCTTGCTTTGCAGCTCAGAATAAAAGTGGCGTTGCACCAAACCCTACCCAAGCAGCGGTCGTGATTAGAAAGTACTCCACACCTTGGAGAACCGAGGAGACAGAAGCATAATTTTAAATGCAAATTAAATTGAGGGGGTAGCAGAGAGAACACATAAAAGACAGTAAAACAAAACCTTTCAATTTTCTTAAATTAGCAGTCTAATGTGTTCTAAAGAGCAGCTCCACTCAGATCTCTTTTAGGGATTGCATTTCATCACAATGTAAAATGGGCAAATCCATCACCTTCCCCTGCTCATGCTCTTGAATTGAGATTGAAGGGAAAATTAGAAGCTGTTCATTTGGGCTTGTAGGCTCAGCATCGTGCAGTTTCCTTTTATGCTCAGTGTCCTATTGAAAGAGGCCAACAAGTGCTGGTGAGTACCTGCTAACTTTAAGACTCTTCCTTTCATATATCTTTTTTGGCTACCTTTCTTTTGGCGGGGGTTGGGGTACGGGTACGGGAATCTCACAAAAGATTTATGTTATAATGCTTGTTTTGAAAGCTTGGAAATTTCTGACAGCTTTTTAAGCGTCTTCCAGTGACTGATTCACAGAAGGCAAGAGAGTTATTTTCAGCCTAGATGCCGATGGCTGATCTTTGTCATAATTATAACAGGAGAATGTTAAACATGTGCTAGCTAAAATGACCTTTCCTTACCACCCTAGACAGCATTAGGGTAAGAACTGGTGCCCCCAACAATTTCTAGACAACTTTCTTATCATATTAACTATTTAATCTTATAATTCTGTTGTCATTTCAAGTCAAACTGAGACTTGGGGCTGTAAAAATAAATTATTAAACCAAAAATCATTATTTTATTGATTATGACATTTCTCTACATAAGAGATGGGCAGTGACAGAGGAATGGAGAAAGGACCCACGTGACACTTACGTGTAGATTTTGATGGGGATGGTTTTCTGCCAAAGTTTTACACAGGAAACTGGTCATTTTCTTCCTTCACAGTGGAGGATACAAAGAGGCTAAGGCTGGCGTCACCTTCCGTTGCTAAGGTAACATGCTCTGGGCCATTTTATTTGATAAAAGCAAGTCCAGTGGATGGAATACGTTATTCATTGCCATTCTAATAAAAAAAAATCAAATTGTTTATTTCCACCGGGAATATTTAGTGAGATCAAAGACTCTCTGGCTGAAATTGCTCTTGCTTTTATTGCCGGCAGTTAGCCCTTGATTTTCTTTTTCTTTTTGCAGTAAGTATGATTTGTTCTTGGGGTATCTTTGGGTATTTATTAAAGTTTCCTCTTACCAGACTTGGTTTCTTAAACTAAAATTGTGCACTGTTAAAAAGAGAAATAGCTGGATTAGCTTTCTGATCTTGATTTTAATGACTTTGTCTTGTTGATTCTTTCCAAAAGCATCCTGCACAAATAGAAATAGTTCATTTATGCAAGTGTCAGGGAAAGGCTGCATATGCTTGAAAGAACCCAACAGGCAGAATGTTTTTTAGTGAAATATATATGCTTCCTGACAGACTAGTGCATGATAATATTGTGGGGATAATTGTAACTCTGAAATAATTGTCACTGCTCTATAGAATTCTTTCTTAAAAGCAACCTATGTCAGGGGCAAGCAGGTAATAATACTGTAGCGCTTTATAAAATGTGCTGGAAGGAATTGCTATAAAGGAAGGGATTCAAAGCATTTTACAGCAAACATGCCAGCATGTGTCATAAATGCAAAGCATCTTTAAGTGGAGGCTCTGATTCCCAGGCGATTCTTGCTGCTCAAGGGGATTCTCTCAGAACTCTCTCTCTGGATCAATTGAGGATCAATATTAAGAAAAGCTGACACTTAATGATGCCATTTATCAGACAGACCTTTAGAAAATGGATAGCATATGAATTTAACAGTATGTTTTCCAGTTAGTACAACAAGGAAAGACAGGCATGCTATCTTTCTTTAGACTGGATCATCTGTTTTTTTCTGAGTGGAATATATTACTTTAAATGAATGTTAGTTAAATGTGGCATTTTCTCATACAGTAAGAGAGCTATGTTGAAGGGTGCCTTTAGAATTGGATATGTCGGTCAAATAATGGGCTATTATAATGGAATAATTTAAATATATAGTATATACATATATACTTACTATATCTATGCATGTTTGGGACTTTAAAAATCTATTTGACAGTCTAAAATACTGTGAGATTTTCTTTCTCTTTTGTAGGCATACGAGTGACTATTTTGTGTTAAAACTCTGTTTTTGAAACATCAAGGATGGATTATCCCAAAATGGATTATTTTCTGGATGTCGAGTCTGCCCATAGACTCTTGGATGTTGAGTCGGCACAAAGATTCTTCTACAGTCAAGGAGCCCAAGGTAATAAATAAAATGAGAGAAAGAGAGAAAAGCTTAAGTGTGAAAGACATCAGGGACACTTTTACCCCCAGAAAAGGCTGAGTTTGCAGGCAATGCACTTGAAGAGACCTGGGGCACCCTGACCTATCTGACTGAAATCCAGCTGGATTAGAGGCTCCCGAGGTCAGCCTTGAGCTTCTGCAGCTGCCTTATCTATTTTAGATTAATGCAGTCACTGCCTCAAGGAAGTTAACTGCACTCGGGGAGATGCAAGGGACATGCCTGTTGTGAGGTATCGCTGATGTGTACATTTTTATTACATATTTCAAGATGGTCAGCTATGCCCCAGTTTGCTTCACTCATCTGTTCAAGGGGACATTTAGGATATTTTCCCACCATGTTAGAACACAGAAAGAAGCTGGAGTGTGTTGTGGAATCTCCTGGGAGGCAGGAGACTTTTTAAGCATATTTTAAATTTTCTTTTTCCCATGGAAGAGTTAGGGTATTCAGACAAAGCAACTTGATGATGAGCATATCCCAAATGGTACAACTAATGCACTGGGGAGCAGGGCAATGCCTATATTCCTAAACAGAAAAGTAGTTGAGTTCTTGGAAGTCACAAGGCAGAGCCGAGAAGGAAACACTGTTTTGATAATGCTGGTTTGTTTCGCTTTGAGGGGTGACAGTACTTCACTCAGAGCACTGATAATATTTGCCGCGGCTTTCCCAGTGGTGGTGTCTTCTAAATGGGTTTTACCTTGTTCTCCAGCCAATTTCTTATGGCAACTTTGAAGCCTTGAGAGCCTCCTCCTTCTCTGTTTCCATTTTTCTGGGCATGATTCAACCTTCTTAAAGTCAAAAGTGTTTAGAATTTATCTGGTTTATCTGTTTGGGTCAGTGTACTCATCGGCACAGCTTAAATTCACAACAGTGATATAATAGCTCATTTTTCTGCTCCTCTGGCTGTCTGAAATTAGCATTGCTACTCTTAACCACTTAAAAAGACACGAAAATGTTACTCAAGCAGGAGAAGGGTAGAGGCTGGCCACAACCGTCAGCGTCCTCTGGGTCTGTAAGTAAGAAGGTATCAGGAGGAGAGAGTGAATGGAGGACAAAAGGGAAAGGGGGCTAAGGCAACGCTCAGTCCCATCTCCTGTCCTGTGTTTAAACGTTGCTGGGTCCCGTCCATTTAATGTGAATGGGAGAATAATGTTGGATGGTGGAGTCACCTACCTGAGCTGCCTCACTTGGCAGAACAAGAGAAGGGAAGTGACAAATAAGTGTAGATAATAAACTTGTCCTCTTGGCCTTGCAGTAGAAACAGCTTAAACATTTAAGGAGACTGGGCTTTGGGTTTTTAACGGAAGGGAAAAAGGCAGGCTGTGGGAGTCTCAGAGGACTCAAGGCAGCCTGGTGGTTGTCAGCAGATGGAGCTGGGGGTGGAGTGGTCAGAACTGTCACCATCAGTGACAGCTTTAGACACCAGAGCTGGAATGACTAGAAAATGTATGGGAGGTGGTAGCATAAGCTACTGCTGCTTTCTGATATGACATTCATTTTAGGATAATAAGAATGACGTTTCAATCAAAGACTTTTGGACTTATAGTAATAATGGAGGTTCCCTAAATACCATCTAGGTCTATTTCCCCAAAATCCCAGACGTCCTGAATCAGAAATCCAGGTGTAAATCTTAGGAGGAGTTTGAATTTTAAGCAAGAGCTCCAGTGATGATGACCTAACTGGCACAGCAGTTTAGGGAACATTTAAGAAACAGTCCATCCAGTCCAGTTTCTCTCTTTCCACCCCAGAGCAGGAACACTGTCCTTAGTATTAGAGGCAAGATAATACAGTGCTCTGGGATAACACCCTTAACCTTGACTGTCTAGGTTCAAATCCTGGGTCTGCCATAGAGAATCCGGGCAAAATAACTTCTTTGATCTTTAGTTCCCTCCTCTGCAAATAATAGTGCCTAATTTATAAGTTGTTACATGCATTAGTGAGGTAAGATTTGAAAGTGCTTGAAACAGTTTTTGCAACAGAGGAAATGCCATACCTAAGCAAATCAATAAAATAAACTTCCCTGGCAAAAAGGCCCTCTCTCCTCTGAGATGTCAAAGGAAGCCACTGCCTTGCAAATAAATGTGGGCTGATAGGAGTTTTACTTCCTATTTTGGGTAAATTTTTAAAAAATAAATGGTAAAACACAGTGATCATATCCTTGCCTCATCAAAGTATAACTCACAGAAAAATTGAAAAATAATGAAAGTTTGTCTTGGTTTTCCCTATCCACTTAGTCCTTCCTATCACTTTGAAGATAAGAGCCCCTTTCCTTCCAACACCTTACCCAGAACCCCACCACCTAGGACTGGTCACTAGCAGAGTCCCCTTTCCAGGCCTTCACTGTCACTATAATGTGGGACTTCTCACTGCATCGCTCCAGCTCCTTCACAGCTGCTTCCTTCCACTCGGCACACATGCCACAATCTTCCCTAGATAATAAGCCCCTCGGTCTGATAAATGGCTCTAAGGGAATGGGCAGAGGCTTGTGGACCAGAGGAAGGATGAGAGCTGGCTCTTGAGAAAGGCATTTGAGGCAACTGGGGCCTTGTGCTGTTGCTGAGCCACAAACACATGGCAACTCTCTATTTGGTCAGCCTAATTCAGGAACAGAGGGATGTTAGTAAGGTCAAGTGGCCACATTTTGGGACCTTCTTCTGTAACATGGGTGGCCTAGGACATGGTCAGCTAAACTGGTGTGTGATGATTACCTTTTTGAGTTGTCCATTCTAGAGTTCATATAGGTACTTCTACAGATTGGTCAAGTGTTCTTATAGGTACAAATACTTTTAAAGAGGGAAGCAAGAAAATACAAGTTTCTCTCATTTTCCATATTACCTTTCTTATACCAACTTATTTACAAATTCATAAACTTCTTGGAAACCAACCATGTAATTAACATAACATGCAAAATGCTTATCCAAAGCAATAATACCAGGATTGTAATATTTTTAAGCCTAATAGAGTTTTTCAATTTTTCTTGTAAAGTGGTAAGAGTATGTCCCTAAGAGGAGGATTATTCTAGCCAGTAAGAACAAGAGGAATGCAGGAAGATGAGAAGAAGAGAAAGAAGGAAAGAAGCTATTCACTCTATTATGAGACAGCTTCTTCTGGAAGCCCCAGAGCTTTTCAGAAGTCAGTTGCTTTCTTTGCTGAGTAACATAGCTTGTTATTTTCTCCCATCTTCACTTTCCCTTGGTTTGATCCCAAGATGATGGGAAGGAAGATGGTCAGGAAGATGAGCCCATGTCTCCAGGGATTCTGCTTTAGATACATGATGTGTTGCAGAGAGCAGAAAAAAAAAAAGCCCAGGGTCATTTGTTCCTCTCCCCTTGATGAAGGATGCTCTCCCGATTAATCTGTGAATGTTTTGTCGGCAGTAAATCCTGCTCACACAGAGGGAGTTCTTTGAAGGACTCCATTAACTCATGTAGGGAATTCTGGTGGCTGAAGATACACATGGCGTAAAGGTCAGCTATGTTTGACATCACACCACTTGAAACCTCCCATCTTTCAGGGCCTGACAATGATATCTAACATACTCAACTTCAGACTATGTAATTTATTTTACTGAACAATTGAACGAGGACAGAAGTCACATTATAAAATCAGAAAATTAGCATCATCATGGGATTTTCATGTTGAATTGGACATTACAGATCAGTGATTCTCTTGGTCCCTCCCTAAAGGAAGTGAAACAGAATTTGTGAAGGCCAGACCCAGGTCCCAAAGCTGCATTTTCAACAAGCAGCAGGGTAACTCTGATGAGCACTAACAGTTGAAAACCACTCTTATGGATGATTAATCACTTGCTACTCAGAGCGTGGTCCTGGGCCAGCAGCATCAGAGCCTTCATTTGGGAGCTTGTTAGAAATGCAGAATCCAGGCCCCACCCAAGACCTAGAGAAGAATTATCTGCATTTTAACAAGATTTCCAGGTAATTTATGTTAAAGTTTGAAAAGCAATGATTTAATCCTGTACACAAGAAATACCTGGTGAGCTTTTACAAACTCAAGGCCAGAATACCGCAGCAGACTAATTAAATCAGTCTTGGGAGGAGAGCCTCACACTTGGAAATGTTTTTAATTCTCTTCAGTGATTCAAATGTGCAACCAGAGCTAAGAACCACTGACTTCCCATTTTATAGAAAAGGAGGTTTTAGCACATCGTGCAACTGTTCTTACCTGAGAATCCTTATCTATTTTGGTATCTCCTTTTAAATGAATCTAAACCATTGGAAAGATGCAAATGGATAACATTTTAAAAAAGAATTGGACTCTGTATCTCATGCTGCACTTTACATATTCATTGTATTCATTAATCCTGAAAGAAATTTAGGGAAAGAGGAATTATAATGGTCATTTTGCAGATAAGAAAAGACTACACACACACACACAACACATAAACACAGGCAACACATATATATGTGTATAAAACACATATATGTTTATAAAACACACACATGTGCATTTTATAATATATATTATATATTTATTTTATATTATAAATATATATGTATGTATGTGTGTGTCTGTGTGTGTGTGTGTGTGTGTGTGTATCACATAGAAACAGACAACTCTGGTAATAGCCAGAAGAAAAGGGGTTGGGGTAGGTGGAGGTGGGCAAATGGGGCTAAATAGGGATGGAAGGAGACTTTGCTTGGGGCAATGGGCACATGATGCAGTGTGCAGATGATATTTTGTTGACTTGTACACTTGAGAAACCTATACAGTTTTGTGAACCAATGTCACCCAATACATTTAATTTTAAAATAAAAGACTACACACTTAGAAGCATAGCCATTTGAATTCAAGTATATCCAACTCCAACAACCCCACAAACAATGAAGGTACCAAATCACACCTCTGGAGATGCTGAAGCTCCGAGTGGTTGGTTCAGCCACACACTCAAGTCACACAGCCTACAGTGATAAGGAGAAGACTAGAACCAGATCTCCTCATAC